TTCTGAGTCAATACTGGGCTATCAGAAAAGGGAACATAGTTTAGGAAAAAAAGTGCTTCAGGTGTGGGAAGTGGAGATTTTGCTAATGGGATCAAGTGAGAATTTTTGTATGTTGAGGAAGACGTCTACAAGTCAGCTCCTGAGAACTGCTTTGTAAGAGGTTTGGAGTAAAGCAAAATCTTTATCCCCAAAACAAAATCTGAATTTTTTCTCTGTACAGATTTTCTAGACAGAAATGTTGTGCATCTTTATACCTAACAAGGCCACAAGCATTCCGGCTCTTATGACAGCTGCTGGTCTTGGTCTAATAGGAAACAATCAGCATTCTCAGTGAGATGCTTCATGTGACTCAGCTTCTGAGAGAAAATCTGTGAATGTGGAGTCCTCAGGGCTCCGGACTGGGCCTGGCTCACAGCCAGGCAGCCTGGCAGGAAGGCATCAGGCCTGACATTCCTTGGAAGGCAGCCAGTCAGCTTTCCTAGGGGACCCCAGTCTCGGTACAGACTCTCCATTTAAACTTCTTCAACAAGTAATAAACATCCTTAGAAAATTCAGAGGCTATTTTAAAATCTTAATTTCAGAAATAACAGGCTAAGAAAGAGGTCAGGAGATTATGGTGGCCCAGAACAAATAAGCCCAAGTGGAAACTCAACCACAGTGGACTTCAGAAATATTTAAGGAGGGTCCTCAGTAGAGAGGGGTATGGGAGAAGCCAGAGAACAAAGAAAAGAAACAGACTGCACCTAGAGCTGCATATGTTGTTTATTTTAACACTAACTAGAACCCCTAATGTCTGCAGAATTTTTTTCCAAACTTTTAGTAATAATAAAAATTGGATTTGTATTTACTATTCAAGGCTCATCTTTTCCTCTTTTTTACCGACAAACAAGCTGAACTTCCAAAAGGCCAAATAACTTGCCCACATCATCGAAGTCAGTAACTAGTGATTTTCCCAAGTTTCATATTCAAATCATAGGCATGCACCTTTATTCAATTTTTGCAGATATCAGTAATACTGTTTTACTCTCATTATTGTATGAAATTATATATTTATTGACATATCATTATTTGATATATTTAATTATAGAATATTTGTTGAGTACAGACTACGTGATAGACATTATGAAATAGACATTGGGAAGAATAGGGAGTTTAAACATAGAGAGTGGAATCTAATTTGGGAGAGAAGCATTAATCAAGTACTTACATGAATTTCATATCACATGGCTATGAAGTGCTGAGAAGACAGGCAGGCGCGCTCAGTGCTTGCAGTGGGAGCCTTGACCTGAGGATTTAAAGAGACAAACACTTGAACAGAGTGTTGTAGGGAAAGGCTGAATGGGATGAAGGGAGGACAACCATATGAGATGGTGAGATCCTAGGGGGCCAGGGAGCTAGGGAGTTGGAAAAGGCTCTTTGTGGCCACAATGGAAGGAAGGGAGACTTTTTAAGGGACGACTTTTTAAGGAAAAATTGTTGAGTTCTGTTCTGTCAATGATGGGTTGGGGGCATGGTTTGTGACCACCGGAAAGCGATATGAATTCCTTATCTGCAATTTACAGAAAAGTGCTGCATGAGAATTACCATTTTGGAATTTTTGTGTGAACAGGAAAGACAAATGCAATGAATATGATAAAATCTGTACAGACTCTAGCAAATGAAAATTGGAAGCATAGAATATGGCTTTGAAGAACTAGACTTTTTGTGCATGTATCCCTTAACTTACCTACCTAGAATCACAGCATTTAATGACATGTAAGGGAAAGTAGAAGACGGAAATACAAAATTGAAAAAAAAAGATTTTTTTGCTCAAAATATAATAAATTATTAATAGTTGTAAGTGTTCAAATCTAGAAAAGTATATGATATTTGATTTGATATCTTAAACTTGAGTTATTTTATGTATTTAGTACAGGGTCTACACAGTTTCACTATACAGGTTGAACTCATAGTGATCCTCCTGTTTTCGGCCTCCCAAATGTTGGGATTTCAGACACGTGCCACCATGCCCAGTCTCAATCATTGTCTCAGTGCACCCCCAGGGGTAGGACTGGCAAGGCATGCTGGGGATCGAATCTAGGTCCCTGCATCTGCCTAAGCAGGCCTTTTAATCTGCTGAGCTACCTGGCCAGCCTTGAGTTACGTATTTTTAAAAAACGCCAATATTTCCTTTTAGACTGATAATCCTGGAACATCCAGTTATACAGCAAAACCATCTTGATGAAAGGCTTATAATAAATTGATTTTTCTTATGCTGGAGAACTTCCACTTTGATGAGTCACTGGTGACGACAACTGTCATTCACCTCCCTCTTCTCGGCTAATTTCAGAGCACATACAGAAAATGAAGGGACCTCTTTACCATCTGCAGACTCCTGTACCAGCCCCACGAAGATGGACTCATCATACAGTAAGACTGCTAAGCAGTGCCTGGAGGAGATATCCGGTAGGTGACCTAATTAACGAATAGGTCCTATACCAGAATTGTTACAATTTCTCTGTCCATCTTTTTGCTAAATCACACTTAGGATGTAGTTTTTGCACAACTATGGTTTGGGCTTCTTTTGCTTCAGAGGTTCTTAGATATGTGACTCTTCTGTTCAGGAAGAATAGCAGAGGCTACTTTGAAAAGAGTGATGGCACTCCCAAAAGTTGATTCTATAAACCATCTTGTCTTTAGTCGAATTGAATACAGTCAAGAAAACCTGGGGAAGCTATTGTTATTAGAACAAATCTTGGATATTATTTGGATATTAACAATATACTAAAGTTCACGTGCTGATGTAAATTTTATTACTAGTTCAGGTCTTCTCTGACTTCAGGTGTATACCAGTTAGAAAAGTTCTTATGGTGGCTCCAAATATATGCTTGGAAGAAATGTAGGAAAATATTTCATTCTACCTAAGTAGGTAATGTGGGAAATAGATACCTGCACCAGATTTAAATTACCAGATTTTTAAGTGTATGAAACAGGTTATTTTAAGCTTCAGCCCGAAGTTTTTCATAACTCAGATAAGCCCAGGCCTATATGGAAAATTTTTGGTATAACTGCATTATATAGATCTATATTCATGAAGAACAAAGTAAGTTCTTACCAAAACATACTGCTTCTAACGAGTGAGTTTAAGATTTTAATCTGCTTCTAAGAATTCATGAAAGTAGAAGTATGTTTGTTATTCTAATAAACCTGGTTTACCCTTCCTGTAAGTACAAAGAAAAAAAGAATTAAATAAATGAATTAATTTTAATAATTGCTGTACTACTCCAAAAATTCAAAATAAAACTGTTGTTCTGAAGCTCATGAAAATAATGCTATCACATTTTGGTTGGTTAAGAAACATCCATACTTTGGCAGTCCTACAACAAATGTAGACATTTCGGCAACATCCTCCAGCACATATTGACAACAGTGACAGACAATGTTCTCAGAGTGCTTTTGGAATTAACATTAGTGACCACTAGACACCAGGGACTTTAAATGAAGAACATAAAGAAGCAATAGAAACTGTGATAATAAGCTATAGCTGTGGAGATTGCATTTGTTGATTTTTATATAGCTGGAGGAAGTGGCTTTCTTTTAGCTCTACAAAGTGGCATGGCCAGAATGATGCTGGGTATACTGTCACATAACAAAAGAGGCATATGCTTCCCATAGTTTTTTTATTCATTCATACCTTCTATATGCTTATGAAATACCAGAGATCAAATCTCTAGCTGAGCAAAAAATAAATTAAATTATGTATTTCACAAGGAATATTGTTTTCTGAAATTAGTAAACACTGAATGGATCTGATTGGATTAAAAATCTATGTTAACCTTTTTGTGGTTCTTATTCTGTCTAGCATTTGTTTTTTAATGTTTCCATTTAATACATTTCTGTTTTAATAGACTATGTGATAGTGAAATGTAAGCTAGATTTTAATATAATCTTATTGAATTATATAGAAAGAATAATATTATTTTGGAGTAGTAATGAATTATTTATATAGAATCACAGTTTTAAAGAAATAAAACAGAAAATGAATCCTGCAGCATTGTATCTGATGGTGTCACCCTTATTGTTATCTATTTAAAGTTAGCCTATATTGGGGTAGAAAAATGCAATATTTAAATAGTGGAAAAGGGATACTGAGTTGTAGTCTGTAGGTTGTAAATTAATTTCAGGGTAAGCATCTCTTATCTAAACTCCTTAGGACCATAAGTGTGTCAGACGTCAGACATGTTTGGATTTTGGAATATTTGCATACACAAAATATTGTGGGATAGGACCTGAAATTTAGTTGTTTGGTATGCACTTTATTCATATAATCTGAAGCTAATTTTATACAACAGGATTGATATACCTGTGTTTAAAATTATTTTTAAAGTCACAAATAATAATTGTACATATTTGTGTTATTACATATAGGGCATTTTGATATATGTATATATTTATGTCCCACTCTAACAACATGATGAAAGCCTTTCATCTCAGTCTGGCTCCTCTACCACATGTCCTAAGTCTACTTTTTGATTCAACTTTTAGACCCATACCTCTATGAAGCCACTCTCAAAGTTAATAACAACATCAATGTCAACATGACCAACTCCAAGAATTGACCTCAGTCTGCATCTTATTTCTTCTTTCATTGATTCATTGCCCTCCTCTGAGAAAGTTTTTCTTTTAGAATATGGTTTTCAAAATACCAAATTCCCTTGGATTTTCTCAAATTTGATTGTTTGCTCCTTTTAGGGCTTCTTTTTACTTCTCATAATTGATATATTTTTTACTTCTTATGATTAAAATGATCCAAATATCTGCCCCTTGCCTTCTCTGCCTCTGCAAATTCCATTGGTGATTTAATGCTCCATCATGGCTTCTAGTCTACTCATGAACCCATGGCTTATGGTTGTTTCTATTCTAATTGTCTCCCTTATTTCCTGGAATCAAATACTCAACTACTTAGAAGACCTCTACACCTGATCATCACAGACATTTCCAACCTGTTAAACTAAAATCTACACCTGTTGTTATTTTTAATTTTTTAAACTTTTCTTTTGTTATTACTGATTTACAGTACATAATGATTAAGTTCATCCTGGAGAGTGGGCACATGTACAGAAAACAGCTTAGTTCATTTCTCAGTCCCTTCTTCTTTCCTCCCTCAGACCTCCCTCCATCTTATATATTTCATGCCATCTAAACTTTTCATTTTGATCTTCTCCACTTTATTAAATGATAATTCCATCTTTTTACTTGCCTAGGGCTGAACTATTAGAACTATTTGTGATACCTTTCTATCACTTACACCTGGCTCCTAATCCAATAGAGTATCTTAGGGCCGATGAGATAGTTCAGCGGACTAAGTGCCTGCTCAAGCAAGCTCAGGGACTAAGGTTTGAGCCCCTGAACTGAAGGCCAGGTCAGCCCCGCCTCTGGACACACTGAGATGGCAACAGAGTCCAAGCGTGGTGGCACACACCTGTAATCCCAGTGCTGGGGAGGCTGAAAACAAAAGGATCACTATGAGTCCAACCTGTGCAGCGAGACCCTGTACCAAATTAAAAATAAATAAATAAACAAAAAGAGTATCTTGCTCCATCCTGAAGCATTGTTTGTTATCTGAACTTAGGAACAAATAGCATATCTATTGATCAATTTTGTGAGATAGTTTTCAGTGCTAGAACTCTTACATTTTTCTCTCACCTTTTCAGAAATCAAATAAATTCAGATGATACGCTAAACTTACTGCATCTCATTATAAGAACAAAAATATTAAATAATGTAAGGTAGCAAATAATTATATTTTCAAAATATATCCAGATTTCAGCTCTTTCTTTCCATCTCTATTTTTCTCAGTAGATGTATTTTATGTGAAGGATATATGCACAGCTACTATTCAATAAATGCGTTTAAAAGCGAAGTCTTTGCAATTGACATATTATACATATGAAAGCCATAGTGAAGGGAAATCCTAATAATCCTCAAGTGCCAAGAAGTTATACTATGGACAGGAAAGTTATCAGAGAAGACTGGCTCTGGAAGCATTCAGAAGGTAGTAATCACAAGAAGTGAGAGTGAATAACACTCATCAGGAGGAATTCACCAAAGTGGAAATTAAAAATTTTATTTTGATGATACTTTCACTGAATAATCAAAGAATTTGAGGATTAAAAGGTTTATTCATTCAAGAAAAGCAATATATCAGTTCATCAATACGCTCTTAAAAGCTGCAATTTTAAAAAAAATCATAAAAATAGAAGAAATAATGTGAATAAGAATATACTAATAGAGTAAATCTACAAACGAAAGAATCTTTCAAAAGTCTAGGGCTGGAGAGATACCTTGGTGGTCTAAGTGCCTGCCTGGCAAGCGCTAGGACCTGGATTCTAACCCTGCTAATGCCTGCAGTGCCAGCCCTGGAACTCTGGGCATGGTGGTGCAAATCTGTAATCCCACCACTTGGGAATCTGAACTGCCCAGTGAGACCCTGTATCAAATAAACAAATAAATAAATAAATTCGCTTTTTAAAAAAGTGTAAGCCAGTGAAGTCTTTCCTATATTAAGATACTTCCATTTTATTAGAGTCTCTATCCCTTCCACATCCCTCCTTCTTATTCTTACCTTTGTTATTGCTACCATATTCCAGCTACCAGGACAATGAAACACAAAGCACTTGCTCTTAGTACTGGCTCCCAGCACAGACGTCCCTACAGAGTATAAGTCACCAAGGATTCTTGAAAGCAATGGTGAAGCTCTTCCTGTCTTTTATGTAATCATTGCCTTGGTATATGTCAGGCACCGTGGAAGTTGGGAAAACACAACTGACTAAGTCAGTCTTTCTGTAGTAGTGAGGAACAAATAGATAAACTTTGAAACCATAAGTAAGTGAATAATTGACATTTGGGAGCAACTAAGTTATTTGTAAAGAGTAAAAAAGGTCTGAAAGGAAGACTAGATGTATATGTTGTAGACTCATGGTATGCAAAGAAACCAGGAAATAATATTCCAGGAAGAAATGACTTCAGAAAAAACAAACTGAGAACAAATGCAACTTACCTAATTCCTTTCATTAGTTTGCTTTTATAGAACTTGCCATTCCCTAAGTTCCCCAGGGTCTTCTTGGCTCGGTGATTTAACCCAAAGTTTCACTGTTATTGCAACCTTTGCATTCTTATTGTTCATGGTCAGTGTAAAGCCTCATGGGAAATAATTATGTCTTGCTTCCCAAGGATGGTGATTTCCATGATGCATTTTACTGATGAAATTTGTCTTAGTCGGGTAAAATATAGTTTTTATACATTTGAAACCTATGTAGCTTGAAGGAGTCTGAAGATAATGCAAATATAAAAATACAAAATGACATGCAGTGATTCTAAAGGAGTCTGGGGGAATTTGATGACTTTGTCTAATAACCCTGCCCTCACAACAAGTTTACCTTGAAATATTGGTAGAATTTTATCTG